TACGACAGCAAAGTCATACCATCGGACCAAAGCAGGACTCTATACCTGGTTCATACCCAAGCGGAGAAAGCAAAGCTAATATCCGAGGGATATGGAATGGACGAGGAGTCTAAAGTGCTGACGATTCATGAGGCCCAGGGACTGACATCGGAGAGGGTTATTATCATCAATACTAGAAGTAAACCCTTGGAAGTGCATGGCAGCTACTCTCATGCCGTGGTAGCCATCACCAGGCACACAGGCGACTGCGTATATTATACGAGAAATCGAGAAGACGCAGTTGCTCGTTTTATACAAGAGGCCGAAGGCGCGACTCACTCGGACATTCGTGAGTACTCACTGCAGATGGCGATTAAAAATAGAGACAGGGCGATCGTTGATGCGCTGATTGCGCTAAAATAATCAGCACAAAGAAAACCAGAACAGCTGATGCATCGTCGGGGCGCTTTGGACTGGAAAGGCCGGAACATGCTCGCTAAAAGTATAAAAAAAAAAAAGAAAGGGAAGGGAAAAGAAAAGGAGGAAGAAGGAGAAAAAAAAAAAAGAAAGAAAAAAGGGGAAAGGGAAGTGAAAAAGGGAAAAAAAAAAAAAAAAAAAAAAAAATTGCCGAATTACGACAAAAAGTGAACTGTGAAATTAATCAATCAATAATTAAACAAAACCTGGACTATAACAAATAGTGAACTTTGAAAATAGTGTTAGAATAAGATTTCATATAATTGTATATGCAGTGTAAGAATTCATAATGTGTATTGTTTCATTATGAATTCTTACATTGCACAATGTAATGAAAACTGTGAAATTAGTAGTAGTGTAAGATTTATATAATTGTATATGCATATTGATAAATCTAATCTTCCAAATAAAGATGGGTGACACTGCATGTTGTCAACTCACCCGGCCGGCCAGCGGTGGTTCTGGGCCAGACGGATAAGGTCTGCCTCGGTGTCACTGTTAGGCAAATTGTAACATCTCGGCTGGAGTTGTACAAAAATGGAAATTAAATATATATAATAATATTAAAGTAAATTAAAAAAGGCACGGACGAATATGTCTGTGGAAAAATGTATTTAAATATAAAAAAAAAAAAAAAAAAAATATAAAACCCCACTCCTCCGCCTCGCGCACGCACGTTAAAGGGTCGCGGGATATGACGTAATCGGTATCCAGGTACTGTGGGTGCACGCGCCTCCTCGCCCTCTCTAAGCCAAGTTTCATTGATAGCAACGATATCCGTGTCGTGTCTCAACATAGCAACAATAAATTCATCATGTCGCGTACCGAGAGATCCGGGGTTTAACAACCCAACAGACATTTTTTTATATTTAATGAACTGCAAAATGTAAGAATATGTAATAAGAATCTGTTTACTATGCAGCAAGTATCTACTGAGCACTGTTATGTGACGCCAGTCCTCTGAATAAATTGGTGTAAAAATATAGATTTTGTGGAAAAATGTCAAATAATTTGAAAAGTCATCATTATTTTTGTGTGTAGTGGTGTATAAACTATAGGCAAAGCTTACATCATTGGGTAGTTGTGTAGTCTCTATACATAACAATAACATATAACTTTGTAATATAAATGAGTAGATTATAGAAATAATATAATAAATTTTTAATCTTTTATGTATGTACTTAGTAGCACAAATGAAGTACTTTACATTTGTTAATAACCAGTACTTATTATAGTACGAAATTGGTTTAATGTAATTGTTAGATAATAAAATATTAAAATACAACAAAAAAACTATTTCAGTAAATTTAAAATTCCATATCAAATCTTATACAACAAAAGCGTACAAAAACAGACTTCTTTTCCTTTCAAAAATAAACATAAAATAATTAGTTAGAAATTCATTATTATTACCATTTAGTAATAATAATAAAATTTTACAACACAGTAGCAGCGTCTTGCAGATATATAGTAATATAAGAGAATAACAATTGTAACTTTTATACCAACACATAAGAACCAACATTAACATTAAACAAAAACTTTATTAAAATCATTTTCTGAGCGTATACGGTGGCGTGGCGAACCGTTCTCTTTACGGACATAAATTTTTCCTTCGCGAGTCCATAAATATTTCCACTGTACGCGAAGAGATTCCACCCGAGCCTTATAAAAAAGTCGACGATTGGTTTGAGTTAATCTTTCGTTGACATAGATGCGTTGGTCAGCCAAGGCCAGACCCAAACCAGCAGTAGTGATGTCACGGCGGACTCGTGCAGCGGCTAACATTTGATCGCGATGTGTACGGCGTGTCAAACGCACCACTAGGGGGCGTGGCCGGCGTACACATCGCGATCAAATGTAATCGGAGATTGTCACTCATCGTACGTTTAAATGTCCCGGCACGCTGAGCGTCTACGATGTCTCGTTCCTCCAAAACTACGCCCAACTTTTGCGCTACGGTAAGTGCTAGGTGAATACCGCGCTCGTTTGTGTCCTCCGAGATCCCAACTATCTCGATGTCGTTACAGAGTAACTCTTGGTCACGATCATTAAGTTCCATTTTGAGTTCGGAAATTGTCTGCTCCAAAACAGATGTAGTGTCATTAGTACCCTCGCAACGTTGCTTTTCCATTTCATTAACCCTTGTAGTCAGCGCGTCGATTTGGAGCTGACATGACCCTACAGTAACAGTAAGATTCGAAATTGTGGTACGGAACTCCTGCATTTCTGTTCTATACTCTTTCATCTCCTCACGCAGGAGACGGATTTCGGTAACTAGTTCAGAAAAATCGAACGATGCTGTTTCAAGCGAGCATGATGGTGTCGGCGATGGCGGTGACGTCACTGACGATTTATGATTGGCTCGACTGCGTGTTGTGACATTGCAGTATACTGTTTTAATTGGAGTATCAGTGTTATCCTTTTTGGGTATCTTATTTTTACATTCCTGACATTGCCAGTTATTTTTATGTTCAGCAGTCATTGTATTAAGAAATCTTTTTTCACTGACGTTCACACACATTATATTGTAATGTTTTAAGCATAAGCGGCATTTTAAAAACTGACGTGTTTTAATAAGCTGTAAACATGCAGCACAAGAACCATAGTTCAGCACGGGTGGCGACATCTTGTAAGCAATAGCAGTACTATATTATGCAAAGCAGTCTGGTGTAATTAGCAGAGACTAGCGTCAATTGCGTATTACTAGGTGTAGTTAAATGATTTTCTACTAGATGGCGTGTTGCTTGATTACAATCGGATTGACTAGCTCAGTAAATCATCAGTATTTAAGGTTACTTTTTAAAAACCGTTATTACAGAAGTCCAAATTAAGCCACCAATACTTTACCACTATCTCCCACAAGTAAAAATAAGCAATTTTTAAAACTGTGCACTGACAAACACAATATGCAGACAACTTTTCAACAATTGTACGTGACACTTTTATTTCACTGTTTATCTTATGTACACATAAATCTTCCTTACAGAATACGTTCACACAGAGTTATTAGAACTTAAGTTAGCGGTTTATCTTACTACGCAGTCAGAAACTTAAAAAATACTAATTAATTTAATATAATATTACGGAGCTAATGTTACTAAGATGACAGCGCCTCTCTCTCTGTGAACGGTCAGTCATGCACATTTCCAATGAAACACCAAACTGGCATGTCGATGCTAAGCCACGGATGCGTGCAGCATAATCTGACATAGATTCGTGGGAATCCTTATTTGCAGAATAAAATTTCTGACAGTCAAATAGCGGCACACTCCCGTAAATTGACATTATTTTTAACGTTATTTATATTATAATATATATAATCAGTCGATCAATTATCAACTACAATCCTCGTCGCCACTGTAATGTCTAGAAAATACGGGAGCACAATAATAAACACCTGTAGGTCGAAACTCAAGTTTATTTCCAACCAACCAACCTACGAATAACTGGTTTACAGATTACCTACATTACAATCAGCAAAATTGGGGAGCGACTAGCCCGTCATCCTTCTGGAAGTCGAGCCTTTTGGTCCCTTGCTAAGGTTGCCGAAGGTAACTTTAGTCAGTCGTCCTTACCACCACTACGGAAGCCGGATGATAACTTGGTACATAGTGCAAAAGAGAAGGCCGATTTGTTGTGCGCTCTTTTTGACTTTAGACGCTGGGGACACCATACCTACTACCATCCCATGGTGTGGTAACTCTATGCTGGAAATATCCGTAACACAACGGAGCGTCCGGCAAGAGTTGCTGTCTCTCGAATTCGAGCGGGCCAGACGGCATACCGGCTTTGGTGCTAAAGAAGTGTGCTCCTGAGTTGTGTCCCGTACTCACGCGCCTCTTCGCGCTTTCATACTCCTCTGGGCAATTTCCGTCGTCATGGAAGACCACCCTTGTGCACCCTGTGCCAAAAAAGGGCGACAGGTCAAACCCATCGAACTACAGGCCTATCGCTATCGCATCTTTGCTCTCCGAGGTGATGGAGCGTTTAATTAATGCGATATCTAGAAAATCACGATTTATTGAGCGATCGTCAATATGGCTTTCGCCATAATCGCTCAACTGGTGATCTTTTAGTGTATCTCACACACCGCTGGGCTCTTGCCATCGAGAGCAAAGGTGAGGCGTTGGCAGTCAGCCTTGATATGGCGAAGGCATTCGATCGGGTTTGGCATCAAGGTCTTCTATCGAAATTGCCCTCATACGGAATACTCCCCGACACTGTTTCTGCTGCATATCAATGATCTGCTAACCACAGTTAACCTTCATTGCTATGCGGATGACAGCACCGGGGACGCATATTACACGGGCCATGCTAATATCCCTCTTTCCGTTGTGGAGGCAAACCGCGAACAGCTTGTGTCTGAAATCGAGAGTACTCTTACCAGGCGACTCTTATTGGGGGCGACTGAACTTAGTTTCTTTGGATTCTTAGGATTAATCGATTTCAGTGCAATTTCTCACTTGACACACAACTTAGATGATTTGGGGAACTTAACTAGATGTAGTAATTGTCCTTTTACACATCAAAGTATTATTGTCATGGTGATCAGTGAGTGCGAGACAACCCATTGTGAAGTAACTGCATGTAGAAATTGTCCTTTTACAGATCAGAGTATTGTTGTCATGGTGATCAGCAAGTGCGAGACTGTCCATTGTGAACTAACTAGGTATAGTAATTGTCCTTTTGCACATTAGACTATTATTTGTAAGTCTGCTATATATTCGTACAAGTATCTTCATTGGAAAATGTGATTACAGAACAAAATAACTTAATTAAAAACTTAATCAGTGATCGAAAAATTACATCTAAAACCAGTGTAAATAATGGTGAGGGTAATCCTACATCGCAAGTGTATCAGCGGCCAATCCGTGAAGCTCGTATACGTGCGTCATCGGCGATCGCCACTGCAACTAAAAAGGTGACAGCTAGAAGCAACGCAACAACGACGTCATCGGGCGTGCCCCCTACTCCGTGTCCGTCGTTGGGTCCGAACCGTAATCGCGAAGCTGTTATTACACAGACGGAAAACATTGAAGCAACCGGCGGTAATACGGGAGAATGGATCGAGGTAAAGCGACCGCGTACTCGACGGTCGCTTGTAAATGTAACTCGTGGTACAGGCAATCTGACTGATACTACGTTATCCGCTGCAGAGCGAAAATCATATTTACATTTATATTATGTGAAAATCGGTACTACAGCAGAACAAGTTATTGAGTACCTCAGAACAATTTGTCCGGGAGATAATTGTTTCGCAGAGGCATTAAATTCGAGAGGTGATTATGCTTCATTTAAGTTATCTGTGCCTACAAAACATCTAGACCAGTATTTAGCAACTGAGAACTGGGTAGAAGATGTCTACATAAAACCTTGGCGCAATGGATTTCGTCAGAAAAGAGAACAAACAGTTTAAGCATAAATATATTTCAATATTTTATCAAAATGTTAGAGGACTTCGTTCAAAATTAAATATTTGTAAGCTATCAATTCTCAGTGAATCAGCTGATATATATGCACTAACGGAAACATTTTTAAATAGTAGTATTTATGACGCCGAGTTGTTCCCGAATGGGTACATCGTTATACGCCGTGATCGCATAAATGATGCTGGCTGGGGAGGAGTTTTATTAGCAGTACGTTCGCAATACAAAGTTGAACAAATAACCGATATTGGTGGGTACACAGAGGATATTGAAGTAGTAATAGCATTAGTGAAATTTAAATTAAAATCAATTGTTTTTTGTGTTGTCTATATACCACCTAATTCAAATGATGAGAAATATTTTAATACATTTTTAGTTTTAGAGAATACGATGATAAAATATTCAAAATCATTACAATTTAAATTCATGTAGCTAGCAATGTTATTCTGCAGTATGGTTACTTAGTTGCTTTTTGTAAATTAAATCAATACAATGTGATTAAAAATAAATATGGCAACACGCTGGATTTAATATTGAGCAATCTGGGCAGTGACAGTGTATTAATGTGTGAAGATGTAAAACCTTTGGTGCCGGCTGACGCGCACCATCCACCACTCGGTGTTCACATTACCATCTCACAACCGAGGGCTGCGTACGTTTCTTATTCATTAGTTACCGCACCTCCGCTGTCACAGTATTCAGTGACAGAATGGAACTTTCAAAAAGCGGACTTAAATTCACTATATGAATCGATAGCTTTAACATATTGGAATGAGATACGCATTTGTAGCGATGTTAATGAAGCATTACGCTGTTTTTATTACAAATTTTATGCTTGCTGTTTAGAAGCGAATGTACCTATTAAAAAATTTTATTACAATTCTAAATATCATTATCCGGATTGGTATACAAAAGAAATTATAGAAAATATTAAAAAAAAGTATTATAATTTAAAACAATATAAAAAATATAATAAAAAATATAATAGAGAAATGTTTAAATTTTATAGGCAACGTACGAAACAATTAATAGATATAGCTTACAATAATTATATAACGCAAACTGAGCTAAATATAAAGAAGGATCCAAAAAGTTTTTGGAACTTCGTAAGGTCTCAACGAACTAATAGGCGGTGCGAGGACCAATATGAATATGAGGGGCAATTGGTATCTGGAACAGACGCTGTAAATGCATTTGCAAATTATTTTAAATCTAGTTTTTTAAACAATCAGCCAGTTTTATCTTCCAAAGTAACTGAAGGCAAACTAGATTCTCAAAACTCGGCTCGAATTGCTATTGACAATATTACATTAGTTGACCTACGGCGCGCGATAAAACGATTAAAGGAAACTTCTGCTGGACCTGATGGTATCCCACCTTTTATACTTAGAGACTGCATAGGAGTATTGGAGGAATCTATTCTGCACATAATAAACTTAGCTGTCCGTACAGGTACCTTTCCAGAGTTATGGAAAACATCTAGGGTTACACCAATACCTAAAAGTGGGTGTAAACCTCAAATTGCTAACCATAGGCCTGTCGCTATACTTTGTGCTTTAGCAAAATTATTCGAGTCCATATTGAATCGCCTCATATCCGCACAAGTCCAGTCTCAATTCACAAATTGTCAACATGGATTTAGGACTGGAAGGTCGACAACTACCAATCTTATAAATTTTGTAGATTATACGGTGACAGGCATGGATTATAGTGGTCAAGTGGATGCGGCATACTTTGATTTTAAAAAAGCATTTGATCGCGTCCATAATGACGTATTATTAAAAAAGTTTTCTGATGTAGGATTTACACCTGATCTTCTAAAATTATTCGTTAGCTATTTCACTGGTCGTTCACAGTATGTACAACTAAAAGGATGTAAATCCGTCTCCTATGAAATCAGTTCTGGGGTAAGCCAAGGCAGTAATTTGGGTCCGCTGCAATTTCTAATCATGATCAATGACTTGCCAGATGTTGTCAGTAGCGCTGAATGTCTAATGTTTGCGGATGATCTGAAGTTATTTCTGTCTATAGGAAGTAAGGAGGATTGTGTAACCCTCCAAAATGATATTGACAAGGTAGTAGCTTGGGCTAACTGTAATCATTTGGAATTCAACGTTTCTAAGTGCAAAACAATGACATTCACACGGTGTCGTACTCCTTATGTATATTCTTATAATATATCAGGGACGCCGCTTGAACGTGTGTCAGAAATACGTGACTTAGGATTGACGCTTGATACAACTTTATCGTTCAATACTCATATATTTGCCATCTGCAATCGTGCATGTAAGTCTTTAGGATTCGTAATGAGACAGTCGAGCCAACTCAGAGACAGAGATGTTTGTATTTTTTTGTATTATTCATTTGTACGTAGCATTCTAGAATTCAATTCAATTATTTGGGACCCACACGAAACAAAGTATAGCGTAATGTTAGAACGAGTTCAGAGAAAATTTGCTCGATACTTATACAATAATCTGTATGGCTATTATCCCTTTTTATACCCGTCGCTATTTGTGTGCGGTATGGTAGGTATGATATGGGAGATAGATATATTTTCCGTGCCCGGTTGTCTGACAGTTAGCATCATAGTTGTATAACTCCTAATTAAATAGTGTTTAAAAATATATATTCTCACCTTTAAGACTGTGAAACTACACAAAGTGATAACTGAAGTGTCTGAAGTGCCCTGGAATATAGTTATCCCGTAAATTCTGGATAAAGAATACATACACATCTCAAATACAACGCTTGATGAAGGTAGATTTCGAATCACAGAAGCCGTTAAATATTTCTGATCTGTGCACAGAATTCATTGTGACCATAGACAAAACAAGTGACAGTGACATTCAACGTAGTGTTGCCAATCCAACAAAATTAAAAATACTTTTTGTTGCGTTCCATATCACGCATATTTGGTTTGTCAAAAAATGGAAGATCAATTTCAACTGTTATTTGACAGAATAAAAATAGAAATGACAAAACAATCCATGGAACTAAATAAATCAATAACCACCACAATTATGGAGAGAATGGATGAAAAATTAAAACCTATCGTACAAGAAAACGAGAAATTAAAAATAAAATTAGTAATTCTTGAGAAAGAGATAGAAAGCTTGAAAAGAGAAAAGAAACAAAACAATATAATAATTTATGGCATTAAAGAAGAAGAAAAATCTACTCTAGAATTAATACAAAAAGTGAAGGATATCTTTAAAATAGACTTAGGCATGGACATTCAAGAACACGAGGTTAATAGAATTTACCGTATTGGAAGGGAAAAGTCAGACGGCAAACCAAGACCTATCTTACTTTGCTTTGTGAATGTTTGGAAGAAAAATGAAGTTATGAAAGTGAAGAAAAATTTTAAAGCTGGTTATATTACAGAAGACTATACTAAGGAGGTTCTAGAAAAAAGAAAAATGTTACAAGCTCAATTAGTAGAAGAGAGAAAGAAAGGTAATATCGTATATTTAAAATTCGATAAATTAATAATAAAAGGAAAAAATAAAAACATCAAGGATAAAAGGAAAAGAGAAATGTCGACATCACCGAATAATGATACACAACCAAGGAAACAACAAAACTTAAAGCCAACGCTCAACAACAAGTTAAATAAATACGATATGACGAGGATTAGATCCAACTCTCTTTCATCTATCGCAACAGACAATAAACAATAACAATTAGCAATCGGTAAACGGAAAACACAACACCATTATAACATAGAAGAAAATCCTTACTTCCTTACTAATATTATAAATGCGAAAGTAACTCTGTCTGTCTGTCTGTCTGTCTCGCTTTCACGCCAAAACTACTGAACCGATTTAAATGAAATTTAGTACGCAGATAGTCTAGACGCCGAGGAAGGACATAGGCTACTTTTTAATGCGTAAAAAGGGTTGTAAGGGGTTCAAAATGGAAATACAAGGTTATCTTTATGCGGTTGAATACTTATTCGTCATCTTTACATTTCACTAGCTAACAACCAATCAACACATCGCGTGTGTTTGCGCCATTCGCCATCTTTTCATTTCACTAGCTAACAACCAATCAACACATCGCGTGCGTTTGCGCCAATAAGGTATCCATCACAGAGAACAAAACCACAGATAACATAATGTAAAACGAAAGATCTTGCCGAAAACATGACGTTGACGTTTAGCGAAAATATTGTTTTTTGACACTTTTTTATGATAAAATCGTATATCGTGTGTATGTGTTTTTTCTTTAAACCTGAAATTGGCCGATTGCGAGACAAATTTGGAGATTTTTTTTATTAATTTGTTTTAGGGCTCTGGATACAAGTCCTGTTTAGCCCAACTTAAAGTTTTACAATATAAATTACAAAAATTAAAGTCAATGTTAAATGTCAAATAATAATAAATGTCAAATGTTGTTTCTCTGTTCCGGCGAACTTATTAAAAAAATCTTAATAACAATCACAATTTCTTCACATTCTATTATTTACATTTTTTAAAGAGTGTTGTGGTGTGGCACTATCCGAAATTAAATTATTTAGCCATTTTTGTAGGTTATACAGAAATAATGTGTGGGTGTTTATTTAAAAAGCATTAACACAAAAATAATAAAGTATAGGTATTAATAAATATATGGTTGTTGTATCAAAATAGAATTTTCTTATTTTTCACTAAAATAAAAACTAACTGCCTTTTTTATAAAATAAATGACTTTTTCATTGTGTCATATATTATGAAACTGTTTAAATTATTTAGCTGATTGTAAGAAACAAAATGTTGGTTTGTAGATTAATTCTGTAAAATTACTATTTGTACGGAAACGATAAAAATATTTTTTTGTGCTGCGACAAAAACTAATATTATAAATGCTAAAGTAATTCTGTCTGTCTGTCTCCCTTTCACGCCAAAACTACTGAACCGATTTAAATGAAATTTGGTATACAGATAGTCTAGACCCTGAGAACGGACATAGGCTACTTTTTAATGCGAAAAAAGGGTTGTAAGGGGTT